TTTAAGACTTATATGGACAAGTTTAAGAACATACAAATTAGAGCCCAATTCCAGCTAACACTTTTTAAGCAGTTAGAGCAATAGTTTTCTTACTTTGAAACAATGTGAATAAAAGCTTACTTGTAACCGTCAGTCATACATGGTTTGGATCCTACATCTCTGGTTTTGACATCTGTTTTCACTGCATGTAACATCTGATTTATGATTTTCCCCATCATAAGCTTAGTTTATATTGCCCAGGTTTCTGCCATGTTAAATTTAGAACCCAGCACCAGTCATAGTATTGTTTTAGCTTTGGATAGAGTGAGGAAGAGTTCAAACTTGTCAGGTTTTTATTGCTGTGTGCTCAATGGTAAGATTTACACTTTATTTCCTGCCCACCTGTCAATGGGTTATGCTCCCCAAAGGGCACCTGACTCCCTTGTGTGTAAGGGGTGTCACCAAGACAAGCAGTGAAGGCAAATATCCCATCGGAGAGTCAGACAGCAATAAATATCTGACAGTTTTGGCTGGAGTAGGGCTAGGGTCACATGGGAACTTATGTCTTCATGGATAATGAGAATCTTGGTGTATCAATGTCACACTAAACTGCACTAGGTCCCTGGAACTGAGTCTGTCAAATAAGCTGATTTCCCTGCGTGACCTTTCTACAAGGCTTAGGTGAGATGGACGCTCTGTTATATCGTAATCCTCCAAAATACTGTCAGACCAATGCATTCAATAAAAATGTTTCTAAAAAGATTTCACAGGAAGCAGTCCTCGTGTGTGAGGAAAATTCCATTAGGTTTATTGTTTTTGACAAGCTCAGCTTGTCAGGGTCTAAAAATGTGCTCACATATTACAATACAACTGGATCATGCTAATAAAAACTCTACCTAAAAATGTTTTAAGTCTGTTCCACAGGGAAAAAATATGATCTCAAACCAACCTTACAATAAACCTGTACATATAAATATAATGAACATGGGCCATAGCTGCAAGCACCATAAGATGTGAGGGCTTACATGTAGTTCTGATCAGTGGCCCTCAACAACGCTACCCAAATTTGCAATGCAATAAAACTATTTTTGCAAAGCTGGAGCACAGACACTTTCCATGGTTGAGGTGTGCCTATAAGCCACCCTAAAGGTGCCCACACACCTTACAATTTATCTGCAGATTTTCTGTGGTCAGATGGAAAAAGTGCAACAGATTGGCCCAGGTGGAGATTACTCCATCCACACAGTTAAGTGTAGATGGAGGAATCTGTTGCACCTTTTCCATCTGACCATAGAAAATCTGCAGATAAATTGTAAGGTGTGTGGGCAGCTTTAGGAAGGTAGTGCTTGCAAAGGAAATTTAGCAGGGCTCCCAGTGGGTTCTCGGTGATGATGAACTGGCACCATAGGATGTCTGCAGTTATGTACCATGTTAATTTGACTTTTTCCCTTAGTACAGGTTCACTTTAAAAGGAGCAATCAATCATGTTTACAACAAATAAATAAAACCCACAAAGTTAGTAAAGGTTTATTGTTACTAGGTTAGTTGAAAAGATGACTGTAGCACCAACGTTTTGAAGGATTACCAAACCAAAAAGAATAGTTATTTTATCTGAAATTTATAGTAATATCCCTTGCAGCCATACCCTGTGAAGTCATTTGAAAGTTTCAGAGAAAAATATATCTCATCATGCATCTGCCTCTGGGAGTCGTGGCTGTCAAAGTTCTACAATGCCTAATGGGATTTGTAGTTTCACCACAGCTGTAGGGCCGACGTTTGGTTACCCCAATTTAGGATAAGCTAAGCAAATGATTTAACCAGCCGAGTTTTTATTGAGGCAACTGCTTTGCAAGAACTCATTCACAAAGCACTCCAACACACTGCCAGCCATTCATATCCATTTTAGACATAGAAGACTGTGAGCAGAGGGTGACACAGCATGAATGGTCGTGTTTTACCGCCTTCAATTCTAAAACTGTTGAACTTGCTAAAGCACTTGATAAAAGGCTAGATAGGCTTGGTAATTAGCGCACGACCTTCACAGTCTCCTACATCTGCAAGAGCAAATGTAGAGCAGCTGAAGGACTGTTGGTGGTTCCATGCCAAGACAAGATGCTGATTTCAACTTGTGGCAGCAAAGTACATAATGCTAATAGAATTGGCTAACATCCCAAAGTACAGTATGTCACTGCATGGGAATCGACACACATGGCAACCGTGAAATACCAGGAGAAATTTGGCCCATTCCTAATCCATCCAAATTTGTTTGCCACCCAACCCCCTTTGGACAAAATCCCCATTTTTTTGGTCTAAGGGTTCAAGCTTCTTTGCCAAAGCTTCTTGAACATGTACTCATGTTTTTCACTCCTTTCTTATATAAGGCAACATCTCCTTATGTTGAGTGGCCCTTTAACAACGGAAGCAAATTGTAGTTTTTCACTTAATTTTTTTAAATATAAATGTGTTAACTGCAGGGTCAAATGATCAATGATTTCTCAATGATAGTTTATATTACAATTACATGACTTGACTGGAGTGAATACACAAAAATCGAAGGGACAAAAAAACCAAGGAGACTTCTGCACGTTTGAACGATCATTCTTCAGAAATGGCATCTATGAGGCCTATTTATAAACACATGATTAGTAAAGCTTATTCAACAGCTAAGCTCACCGTTTTACCTTTCTTCATTGGGGATGCTGCCACGTTTTATACTTGACTGGTAGGTCTCTATAAAATGGTATACATAAAGTACTGGTACTGTAATCCATGTTTCTTTATTTTCCTCTGCGTGAACAGTATTATTCCATTTTATCTTCCCTTTTTTTGTGCTGCTTTTTTCTTCAATTCTGGCAAATCAGTTGTGATGATTTAACCAATCCACATTATCTGCCTGTTATTCATAACAGGCAATAGTGTACTATTGCTGGGATTTGTAGTCCTCTATAGCTGGTGGTATTCTGCAGTGTGCTGTATAATGATTATATGGCGCAATGCAGAATACCACCAGCTATATAGGAATACAACAAATGCCAGCAATAGTCCCTTTTATACTATAATGTACTATTGCTAGGATTTGTAGTCCTCTGTAACTGCTGGTATTCTGCATTGCGTTGTATATAATGTATTATTGCTGGGATTTGTAGTCCTCTATAGCTGGTGGTATTCTGCAGTGCGCTGTATAATGATTATACGGCGAAATGCAGAATACCACTGACCAATCCCTAACAAATCCCAGCAATAATACATTATACAGCGCAATGGAGAATACCAGCAGCTATAGAGGAACAACAAATCCCAGCAATAATACATTATACCGGGTGTTTAATATATTACTGCTGGGATTTGTTGTTCCTCTATAGCTGCTGGTGTTCTGCAGTGTGCCGCTTTTTTTTTTTTTTTTAAACAGAAAACATTAAAACAGGTCCCCCCTTACCTGTTTCTGAACCCTTGTAAAAGTCTCTGCAGTGGCGTGCTCTGCGGGCATGTGTCCAAGTTAGCGTGTGTGCGGCGGGTGTGGCGTACGCGGCGTAAGGAGCAGCGAACAGGCGGGCGCGAGCGGGAAATTTACATTTTAGCCGACGAATTGACGATGGAAAGCGTTGACAACGTTTTCCATCGTCGATTTTAATCGACTTAATCGAATAATAATTGTTGCAGCTCTAAAGGGTTATCCCCTTTGGATGCTCACTGCTAGCCATGTTCTAGAGGAAGGGTTATCCCCTTTAGCAACTTGATGCAGATGTGTGCAGTAACCTACTGCAATCACATGACTAACCTAGCTATAATAAACTTCGAAATTCACATATGTGATTAGCTGCTCTGGTTTTCAGTGTTTGCTCATTGCTTTGGATTACAAAAAAAAACAAAAAAACTCAAATGCACCGGTTTCCATACATTTTTAGCAACAGAAACTTTCAAAGAGGATTGCTGACTGGTTGCTAAGAGCTGTGGCACTTTTCCTTATTAAAAAAAAAAAAAAAATCAGATCATAATTATCTTCTGGTATAAATGAAGTAAAGGGAAATAAATGCAATTCATTATCAACATATCAAACAAGCTCTATTGTATGAACACTCAAGGAAACGCATAGAAAGAAACAAAGGTTTCCGTTGCTGACCTTGTTCTAAAAATGCTACTTGTCTGGATGCCTCTTGCTTCGGTGCTTTCCGAGTCACAGATAACAGGTATGAGGAAAGTGAAGTGAGAAACTGAAAAAAGCATGAAGCCAGTGAGATCAGAACTACTGGTATGCATACTTATTCTAGGCCAGTAACTCAAAGTATTAAAGCTTTTGGATCAACTAGCATTTTCAGGAGTGGTCATATATGGCCAGCCAGGTTTTCTTCAAAAGGATGCAAGACTTAAAAGGTGAATGATCTTTCGAAAGGGAAGAATGTCATTTGTAATTTGCCTGGCTGGGGGAGCTATAAAGAACAGGCCATGGGAGCTGCACAGCAGAGTTCTCAGGTGAGCAGGGACAGGGTAGGTATCCGATTTAGAATGGGTGCAGGGGGGTGTCTGGCCCCAATGAGGATACATTTACTAGAAATACATGTATCCTTTAATGATCTGCCACACTTCTATGAGTTCCACTAAAGTATGCCCTTTTAAAGTCTGGTTTGACACAGCTGATGCTGTTATAGATAGGTGCTGGTGTGCTGAATCACCAACTTTCTTCTTATGCAGCATAAGTATGCAGTATTGCAGCAGCAAAGTTTCCACACTAGGATTTCTGGTCCTGCCCTCACTCACTGTGCACTTTCATTCCTCCTGCTGCTTTCTCTGTGGAATAAAATATCCAGCAGGGCATGTGGAATGACTGAAATGTCAGTTTCAGGTAGACTAACCCTTTAGATAATTCCATTATGCAGATGCATAAAGGATAAGAATGTAACTATAAAGAGGGGGCAGCTTCTTATTTTCTTAACATGAATATCAGAACACTGTAAACAGTCTTAAATATAGGATTGTAGGTGCTAGCACTGTAAGAGTCCCAACATCTACTTTCTTCTACCTGAAGAAATATTCTGTGACTTACCAACATTCAACACTCTGTTAAGCACCCTGTACAAAGCGTCGATGAGCAGAAGTTCTGTTTATATAAGGTAAGGATACACTTGTGTTTCATTGACTTGATAAAAAGAGAAAGAAAAGTCTGTGTAACCAAACAAAATCCATTTACATCCTGAATGTTGGATTTTTATCAGTGAGACTTTGTTCATTGCTGACATTTGCACAGCTAAAAATCAGCAAGGTGAAGGCAGAGTCCCCAGTGTGCAAGTCCTAAAAGCAAAAAAGGGAAAACATTAAATTAAAAAATTTCAAAAGGTGTACAGTTCTTTGGTAGATACAGAGTCTGTGGAGTGATCTTTTGGCCCTCGCGCATGGTGGAATCACTGCTGGTAAGAGGAAGACGAGGGCTAGACCCGTATCATAGGAGGTTCCTTTGCCAGAGCAGGTCAATAAAACAACATGGCTTATTTTTCCATGAGAGAAAGCCGCAGGATTTCTTCAAGCTCTGCCTCCTCCTGCAGACGCTGCTTCTCCTTCTCTTCCTGTTCCTTGGCGGACAGTTCCATAGCAAACTGTAACTCCTTGTCATAGCTTTGAGAGTGGCTGCTAAGACTGGAATGGGCACTTAGAGAGTTGGCAAGAAGGCTTTCCTGCAAGGCCCTGCAAAGTAGGAAAAAGGTGTATACAGTTTAGCTATAGATCGAACTGCTACTGTATATATGGTACTGTATAATTATATATATATATATATCTTGTAACAAGGACACTCCACTGTAGACCGGAGGTGCAAGTCAGATGCAGTTTATTTGCTTTCAAAACGGTAGATAACATGAAATCCAACATAAATAGCTCGCTGTAGCATATAACAGATAAGGGCTCACCGACATCTGTCTCTCTTGCAGCACTGCTGCTCCGGCCTCAATCTTTAGGGCCACTGTCTGGTTCCTCCAGACAACGGCAATAACATGCCAATCCTCTCAATATGGTTCGGAAACCCTGCAGCTCCCTGCAGCACTGGCCTCCACTGACTCCAGGGTGGAGCTCTCCTGACTCACAGGTGGGGCCCTTTCTTTCCCGCCAGTCTGTGAGGTCAAAACAGCTTATAATAAACATTTTGTAAATTATTTTTCTCAGTTATATTTATTACAATAGATTAAAATGGATGATATTCACCAAGAAACATTTTTATTAATTTAGCTCAGTACTTAAGATTTTGTTTTTTTTATTTGGATGGGGTAGTGGTTGGCCACTGGTTTTTTTTTATAACTTTGTTTGTGCTGGGAGGAGGTTTTTCAGTCAGGAAGTGAGGACCTCTGCAACAGCAAGTACTTTTTTTTTTATATAGGAAGACAGTTATGACCTTGTTAGGCTTTTTTTGTTGTTGTCCATGTCCCTACTGGAGAAGTCTCCTGACTCCCTGGCAGGAAATGAGGTGAAATGTCCCCCAAATACACCAATAGCAGCCCAATACCGCTTCTTACCTTTTCCCACTCTGTCCAAAACTAGAAATAAAGATAAAAAATATAATGATTTTTGTCTTAGGTTAGCCTTTCACAAAAAAAAGATTATTCATATCAGTTCCTGACAGGTTATTTACACCTACTGGGCCAATGAGGGTGGAAACCAATGAGCCCACCACATTTTTGGTTTTGGGAGCAAATGGATGAGCCTTCAGAGAATCCAGGACCACAGTGCTGAACATACCATGACCATAACCACCATGCTGCCCTGGAAGACTGTATGTAGGACCATGTATACATAAACAATATTATCTAAATAAGATTCATCTTAAAGTGACACTTAACTCAGGAGTTAAATCATAAAAATAAATTCAAGTACCTTAACTATTACCACAAATGCATTTTATTTGTGCATCACTGAGCTGTAGATCCTCAAATAATCTCTGAATTGGTGCTGACACTGTCCTTCCTTCTAGAGGGTGACTACTTGTGTTCCCCCTGGTCCCTGTGTGTGTTGTAAAGTAGCCACCGCTCCAAGCTTGTACCAGTCATGGATTACAATCTCATTAGTTGTTTGCTAATTTGTATTGAGATTGTAGTTCAATCACAGCAGTGAGCTTGGAGTGGAATGCATTTGAATGCATTTTAAGATTTAATTCCTGTGTTTAGTGTCACTTTTAATATATTAAAAACACTAAAGGCTGCTTATGAGCTGCTCCACCATAATAAAAACAATGCCATCTTTTAAATTACTTTTACCATTATCATCAGTGCAAAAAAGTGATGAGGAGATGCTGACCTGATTTCCACTGCACTCTAGAAGGCTCTGCTGAATGGCAAACTGCATGATTTCATCATCTTCATCCCGCATGTGAAGACTCCTCCCATTCTCCTGGATATGGTAAGATGGTGGAATCTCAAAGACTGACTGATCAACCTCAAATTTTGGTGGTGCAGCAGCTGCAACTGAATAATAGCAAAGGATCACAAGTTAAAAAAAAAAAGTTCAGCCATGACATTGTTTTCTTAGTATGGGAAACAGTAGGGAGTCTAAACATTAGTCAGGTTTGTTGTATCCCCACTGACGAGGTTTCCACTTTCTGTCCCAGTGATAACGCACAAAGTATGAGATATAGTTTTGGCTGAAGTTCCATTTTATTGTGTAAGCTGATCAAACACCTTCCCTTCCGGCTCTCAACAGTTTGACGGGTCTTTAGGTAACTTTCAAGTCTGTAATATGAGTTTTATTGGGACAAGGTACAAATTGAATGGACTCTGCCATCTGAGGTGCAAAATAAAATGGGAGCTGATACAAGACAGCAAACAGTTTATCAGTGCCATGAAAACTTACTTTCGGGACATTAGTATTGTTTAGTATTACTCACCTTCCTCATCAGGTGTCCCTTGTGGAGTACTGGGAGAATCCTCGGCCTGGGTGCAAGAGTTCACATTTCCAAATGTAATTCTAGCATTTAAAACATGAAACAAAGGGATTTCTGTGGGAGAAAACAAACATTAAAGTACATGTAAATCCAAACGATGAGCTTCTCTTCTTTGTTCTGTTAAATATACCATTGAAAGCGTTTTGTTCTATCTATTCAATGAGGGCCAGCTGATCCTGCCAGAAATCCAGTGAGCACCAATGACCACTTGAGGCTGCCATGAGTACGACATTCCCGTAGGAATGGGGCCGTGGGGCACGTGCGCAGTACAGACCAGCTGTTTTTGGGAGAAAGGCTCTGAAGCTCCATGCGGGGACACATAGCGAACATTGCCAGTTTGGGGCTGAAGGTATGTTATGTAATGGGATGCGAAGGGAACTTTAAAAGATGACAAGCACCCATAATATAGCAGAACGTCAAAAATTTGACCTTTGAATCCTACAGGAGAGAAGTGTCATGTGTATCGTGTGTGTGTGTGTGTGTGTGTGTGTGTGTGTACACTATGCATTCTATAGGATTTCTTTTTTTTTTCCCCAGGAAATATACATATTAAAAGGTAGAATCTAGTGTAGGGCTGCAACAATTGAGAAAATCAATAATAGTTAATGAGAACCTTTCTACCGTGCCGCTGCAGTCACCCTAGGCTCAGTATAACGCGAGCTGTAGCTCGCGGTATACTGAGACGCCGCAGTATACCGCGAGCAGCTGACATTACACTCTGTGGCAACGCTTTTGTGTTGCCAGGTTATGGCCTGCCCTCAGAGTATGCACTAGGAGAACCACCACCTTTGGGTTTCCCCTTCTTGATTACAAGGTAGGTCCCCATTCCCTGTCACACTCCGACATAGCCTACACGTGCTGGAATGGCAGGCTTAGTTTGCAGACTTGTTTCAATATGCATTGATTTTTCTCTTTCCAATGTTGCTGACAGGGATACTTGTCTGTTGTCAGGGGTTACAGTGCAGTGGCGTTTTGTTTTTATTTTTCAGTGAGTTGTTCTTGTACCATCAGGGGGTGGTATTATATATATTGAGGGTATGGAGAGGGGGGATGGCAGGTTAATGCGCACGCACCAATTGCCCGGAAGAATGTGGCCCCACCAAAAAAGTGTGCGCTGCCAATGACCAGGAATCCAGAACTGCAAGTGTACCTGGGAAACTAAACAACCATGAAGAGAGGTAGGGAGAAAAAGAGGCTGCTGATGAGCAGCAGGTGGAATTGCACAGGTACTTGAGCCTAAGGCGGAGACAGAGCCACGCGGCAATCGCAGGACCGCACGACACCCGGAATGCGCGCCCGGGTGTCGTGCGGTGTATTGCAGGTGTGAATCTAGACTAAGCCCCACAACCCTGGAGCTATTTGGGATGGCAAACACAGGAAAGAGCAAAGTAAGAACCTGAACTTGCCAGTAATCCATGTTAATACTGAGCTCTTTAAGCTGCCTTACACCACAGGCAACCCACTTCAGCGGATTAACTGACAACAGAGGGGTCTTCCAAAGCAGGAAAAAATGCACCTATTTGGGAGGTTGGCAAAGTGGGTTATTCTTCGATCTTCTGGGGGGGGGAAAAAAAGAAAAGTGGCCTGGAGCGAGGACCAAAAGAGAACAATGCTCTCTCATATAGATTAGGAAGGTGGCCCTATGGTGTCAGAGGGGCAGAGTTTACCTTTAGTGTGCTGAGGATGAGCCAAGAAATTTGTCACATACACAAAACACACATTAGCTTCTATGTATAAACTGTCCTAGATTTATACCTATCTTGACTGGGAACCCAGGTGGGAACTGTAATGTTATAAAGTCCCTCAAATGAGCAAAATGAGAGCTTGTTCTCGCCATCAGGTCTATGATAGGGGTGACTTGTTCTACCAAGGACAGAGGGAAGTCTTCACACATCCACAAAGTGCCCTTAAACCTGTAAGACAAGGAATATACTCAGAACTGCAAAGACATTTTGTACAGAAACCTCTTCTAATTCTGGTTTAACCCAAATGTAAATCAAAAATATTAGAAAAAAATGTTTCAGTTAAAATCCCAAACAGAAATCGAAACATCATAAAAAGATAAAAGAAGCCAAACCAGATACAGTGGGAAAGGATGCAGTGATAAGGTGAACATCACTCAAGTATGAAGAAGCACAGCTGTACCTTTAATATAAACCTAACAATCACTAGCCTTTAGGAAATAATCTACACCAGGGGTGCCCATTAGGTAGATTGTGATCTACCAGTAGCTCTTAAAGCTGATGCTGGTAGATCATGAAGGGTGTGAATGGTGGCCCCTTTATTCCATTTTGGTATATTTATTTAGCTGTGCACACATGATTACCTATTAGCCTGAGCCTGCTGAGCCAAGCTCCCTGACCCCTTTCTGGTGGATTCTGGTGGTTGAAGTGCTATGTATTACATCAAAGAATATTAGTTTACACAGCCTGTTGCATGACACTGTTTGCAAAATACAGCAAGGTGAGCAAGGAGAGACAGCCAGGAAAGAGAGAGGAGAGACAGCCAGGGGAGAGAGCAAAGGACAGACAGCCAAGAGAGCAAAGAGGGACAGCCAGGAGAGAAAACAAGGAGAGACAGCCGGGAAGAGAGTCAGGAAAGACAGCCAGGAGGATGATCAAGGAGAGACAGCCAGGAGAGAGAGAGAGGACAGACAGCCAGGAGAGCGAGGAGAGACAGCCAGGAGAGAGAGAGGGAGGGTTTTTTTTCCGTTGGTAGATCTCATGTAGCTCATCATTTGAAAAGTAGATCTTAACACAAAAAATTGTGGGCACCCCTGATCTACACCAAAAGCCTCCAATATCACCTGCTACTTGCCTCAGTAGAACAGCTAAGGCATGTACCTAGTTTTTACCCCATCCAGCCGATATCCTCTTCACCACTTTCCGCAGCTGTACGGTAATCCCTTGCACAGGGCTATCTCCCAAGACTGAAGACATTCAGCAGATAGCCCTTTATACAGTCTTTGCGGGCTCACTATACAGATCTGGACAGTGAAGCAGAAAATTTGGAGTGGATGAAACAAGGTACAGTCCATGGCTGTTCTACAAAATAGCAGGTGGGATGGGGAGGGAGAAGTTTGGATCGATTTAGGAAGGCTAGAGAGCTTGGGTTAGCGTAGCTTACATTAAGGGCCCTTTCAAACCTATGTGTTTTAATGCACGCCAACACATGCATAAATAATTAGCCATTGTTTTGAAACTGTGCTAGCCCACATCTGTGCAATTCGTTTATATGCAATATTCATTTTTTTATGCATCAACATGTGTTATAGTGCCTACCAATGACAGTATCAGTGCATGAAAACACATTATAGTGCAAATGGAAAAGTGTGAATCCAGACTGAAAGTACAGCTGTGCTTTATAGGGGTTTACCATTTTTCTTTTTTTTCTAAAAAGAGAAGACATTTTTGAAAAGTAAAATGTTATCAAAGTGATTGAAACAAGAACTGGCTGACATAAAAACCAGATTTCTCACTCTCTGTGTTTTTACTGGTGCTAAAAACATGAAAAGTAGAAAGAGGTTGGTTGGGATGGCCAAGACAGTTCACTCAGGCACTTTAATGAACCCAAAACTAAATCATAAAAACAGAACTGATGCTCCCAGGGTACTATGCATCCTAATGACAACATGTTTACCCTCTGCAGGACAAATTCTAGATCAGGACCAGCAAGGTTGTAAGGTTGAAATTTTAGCCAATATAAATACCAACAGGCCATCAGTCTCCCGTTAGGCTGGATTCACACTGCTATGCGTGAGGTGCAGCAATCATAGGTGTAAATGAGCCCATATAGTTTTCCTTTCCAGTTGAAAACTGCCAAACATAGATGGGAACCAAGCCCATAGGAAATAAATGTATTTCCACTTGTAATGCACTTTCATGCTCAAAAAGGAAAAGTTGTGCTGCATGAAAACAGCAAGTGTAAACAGGCTCATCAAAGCTACAAAAAAAAAAGAAAAAAAAAAAAAGGGACATTCTCAAAATTTTTCTAACCTGTCTGATCAATGTGCTTATCTAGTGCAATGGTTTTCTTTCTGTAGAAATAGTTAGGGTTTGTGTGTCTAGTTTTAGTGAACATATATTTTGCTACAGTGTCAAAGGCATTAAAACACTGCATAATTCTTTAAGCATGCTACTTACTGCAAGGATACAAATATACAACCAAGGACACCATTAGAAATCATGGGGCCCCGTACAGCCTACCTGATAGGGCCTAACATTAAAAGGAGAACTATGGGGTTAGGGCTTTTCCCCATAGTTCTCCTAGGGGTAACGGGAGGACACAAACTAGCGTCCTCTCGTCACCCAAAGCTCAGTATACCGCCAGCTACAGCTCGCGGTATACCGAGACGCCGCAGCCAGAACGGATCCCGACAATTCTGTCTGGATCCACCCAGCTGCGTGAGTGACAGCTGGCTCTGCCTATTTAGAGGCAGAGCCAGCTGTACCCGCCCCCTCCCCCGTCCGTTCCGCCAGTCAGCGCTTGAGGATCGGACAGGGGAATCCAGTCCCTCCCGTCACGGCTCTCTGCCGGCACAGGATCGAGAAGTGAGCGAGCGCCGGTATGTGTTCGCTCACTTCCCGATCTGCTGAGCGACCTGTGACCGTTTTATTGTCACAGGTCGGCTAGAACTATGAGGCTGAGTGAAAATCACTCACCTCATAGTTCTCCTTCAATGGCATTCAGCCAAATTAAGATTAGCCTTCTCGCTATTCCCATAGGGCATTCATAGTTGATATGTAAAAACCAAGGCACACTACACTGCAGCTCTTCCTCACTTCCAACTACAGTCTGGGGATGTGCAGTTCAGCAGAGGGCACAGCACCACAGCCAATTACAGTCCTTGTTACATCTACAGTGAAGCCGGCTTGGCACAGGGGAAGCTCTCTCACTGGCTGCTGCTGGCGTGGAGGCAACTCTGCTGGTAGCAGTAGGGTAATGCATGTAGCTAGTATCTCTTTCACACATTGGAAGTTATGGCCTGGGCTACTCAAATATTGCTCGGTAATGCAGGACATCCTGTGTGGCCACCCACAGGCAGCCCCTGCCAGGACTTCTGCTTAACCCAGAGGGCCCAATTCAGAAGGAATGTTTGCATTCCCCATCGCTGGCCCAGCATACATTTTAATTCACTACTTACTTTTGCGTCCTAATGGTCAACTCCTTTGGTCTCCCGATGTCTCTGTTTTGAAGGTCAAACTCAGGGTTAAAATACTCTTCAGGAGTTATAGCTGTAGGGTTGTTAGCTGTGGCAAACTCTGTAGTAAGGTCCTAAGAACAATGACAATAGGCTGATAAATGAATCGTATTTTAGACAAGTCAGATGTTCAATTTGCCCATTATTATTTTGTATAGGTATATCTAAATCCAAAAACCTTATTTTATTTTAAATTTTGAAAGACTGCAATAGGGCGAGAACATCTGTCAAGATTTAGAACTGTGTGTGTCTACATTGGTGAGGTTCTCCCTCTCTCCGATTGTCCTGGTGACCAAGTGTGATAGAATCCACAAGTCTAAGTTGTTACCAGTACAGACATCAAAAAGGTAAAATCTTCCAATGGGGACACTTATTCTGGTGACAACCGTCTAAGGGTGGATTTGCCTCACTTCGTATTGAGACTACTGGGCAAGGATGTAAAAGGGAAATTTTCCCAATGAGATACAGTTGTCAATGTTTTTTGTTTTTTTTTTGCCATTTGTTTTAACTATTCCATACTATATCCAAAGATAAAAGGAAAATGTTTTACCTTTAGGTATATTTTAATACTTATTTATTGATAATAACAGTTGACTGATTTAAAATAATAAGTATCTGAACATGGAGGACAATTTTCATACCCAGAAAAAATGAAGTCGCAATCTGGAGTTAAACCCCGCTGTAAAAACTTTTGAGTACGTAAACTCTAACAATTAACTTATTTTATTTGGTCCCTTTTGGTCTGTTAAATATACCACTGAAAACATTTTGTGATATGTTTCATGAGTGTAAAAAATACCTGTTAAATTCTGCCAGGGATCTTGTGAACTTATAACTTCCTGTACTCTTTGCCGCTGCTGTATTTCTATCAGTTGCATTGTTCTCATTTTTTTTTTGTTAAAAGGAGAACTATGGGGTTAAGGCTTTTCCCCATAGTTCTCCTTAGGGTAACGGGAGGACACAAACTAGCGTCCTCCCGTCACCCTAGGCTCAGTATACCGCGAGCTGTAGCTCGTGGTATACTGAGACGCCGCAGTATAGCGCGAGCTGGGACAGCTGACCTGCAGATACATACATTCTGTGGATGATAAATTGCTTTTTTTTTTAAATATATGAATGGATGTCAAAGTATTCTAATCTAATTATCCAAAACAGTGCAGCAGTCCCTGTGTTCTTGGAAGCACCCTAAACTACCACTAATAAGCCAGCTGGGTCACAGCACAGACAACAGTTGGCGATTTCCTGATCTGGTTTGGGACCTGCTGACAACTGTTGGTAAAATATACTTCATATACAGCTTAAAAGGAATATAGAGACTGGGACCATTTTTATATATCCAACCCGCATACACCAGTGTTGCCATGTGCTGGATTTAGATATATCTATGTAAGAAGTGACGGACAGTAAAAGTACAGTACAAAGAAAAACCTATGGGGAAAAAAAAAGCATTATTTAAACACTTATGCATCTTAATTAAAAAAAATAAAAAACAGACACCCATGTACTTTGGTCCTCAGAGCTTGGGTTCAGCAGTGGGTCTGTTGCTTTGCATCAATCATTTACACAGTAGATACATGAACTACAGCTTAGAAGGGCTAAATGAGAGAAGCAATGTACACGTAGCAGTGTTATAGCTTGACATGACATGAATCAGTCCTTTCACTTACCCCTTGAGCCCCAAACTGGTGCTCCACGGTTCCAAGTATTGACTCCAAAAAGTTTCTGTCAGCTGAAGAAAAAAATGAAACATTTTAAAAATTCAGATATTCTACTACATATATGAAACTTTTGCGGATGTTTCTTGCCTTTTCAATAGCCCTCAGAAAAAAACAAAACAGACGTGTGACATATTGAACAGGACACGATATAAATCAGTGGCCTTGAGTGCTCCAAGGCCACCATGGGCTGCAGCAGAATTACCTTCCTTGGCACATCTGAAATTTCAGGTAGTGATTAATACTGCCAGAGATTTCCTGGAATACAATGTCCTGGTAATCCCCACCAAATGTCACAATATCAAAATCAGTGCAGAACAATGCAATGGTCCCATTGCTGTAATACATTTATAAGGCCATACCATGTATTTGAATCAGCTGTAATGCCAATCTACCCCTCTTTTATCAGTGGAGACTTTACATATACGGTGTAATTATTTTTATATTGTAGCGAGAGCTTTACAAGACCACATTTTACCTATGCCTATATCTTGCCCCATGTATTTTGATCATATAATAATTGCAGAGATTACTATCATTCTTAGTATGGTGGTTGAGGGTAAGACATTTTTAGGACAGAAGCCTTGAAACATTGGTGTTATGCTGCCCTAAATAAAGCCTTACCTCCAAATTCATAAAAGGTAAGCTTTTTTTACTTTTGGATTCAGAACCCACATACACAAAGTACATTCAAGTTACGTAGCGTGGTACCTACATTTTTGTGCTACATGTACACCCAAGTTGCATGGCTTGGTACCTACATTTTTGTTCTATATGTACACCCAAATTGCGGTTAGGTACCTACATTTTTGTGCTACAAGTTTACCCAAGATACGTGGTTTGGTAACTACATTTTTGAACTACATGTACACCCAAGTTGCGTAGTTTTTTTGTTTTTTTGATAAAACAATTTATTGCTTTAAACTTGTAACACAACAGTGCAAGCTGCGTAGTTTAGTACCTACATTTTTGTGCTACGTATACGCCCAATAGATAATATGAAATCACCTGCACTCCATACAGCGTACAGACCTTGTTGAAAGGTTGGTGCTTGAAGTGACAACACGGATGGTGCCGTGTCAGATACAGTCCATAATAGAAGTCACCAGCACTTGATGATATGTGCAAGAAGTAAAGCACTTTTTATTCAATTGTCACATGCGTCATACAGCCTGTATGATGCATTTGACAATTAAATTAAAAGTGCTTTACTTCTTGCACGTATACACCCAAGTTGCGTGGTTTGGTACCTGCATTTCTGTGCGCAACGTATACACCCAACTTATGTGGACTGGTCAACTGTACACATCGGTGTATTTAGGTTTCGTGCTGCCCTAAGCAAAACAAAAAAATGTTGCGCTATTAGGCCTCATTCACACTGCTTAGAGTTGGCCCATACAGACGCGTGGGACGTGCACGGCGGTATCGGGCAGGTGCTGCGTGTGATTTGTACGCAGTAGCCTGTTCTTCTCTATGGGAGGATGCAGCCGTACGCTCACCTGAACTGCACGTCGGTGCGGGTGCGGATGTATCAGGTCAGGATGGATCCTGTCTGCGTCCGAGCACGGACATCCGCACCAGTACGAATATGTACGGGCCAACTCTAAGCAGTGTGAATGCGGTCTTAGTGTTGCAGGGAAGCCGGGGTCTCAGGTGGGCTGTAAAGGATCTCTGGTGGGCACTGCAGGATGTCAGGCGGAGACCACCATAGACCCTGCACATCCCACCATAGACCTTGCACTGCCCTTCTAAGTCCCTGCAAACCCCACCAGAGACCCCCCGCAAAGCCCACCATAGACCTTGCACAGTCGGGAGTCTGTTTAAACAGCCCCGATGCTGGCGACGTACACTGTACGTCGTCAGTCACGAAGGGGTTAAGGTGGGCTGTGCAGGATATATGATGGGCTGTGGAGGGTCCCTTTCCCTGCACACATGCTGCTCCTCTTAACTGCAGCTCCCCTGCCTGCTTCCAGGAAATACTAGAAAAAGATGGTAACCGCATACATTTATAACCAGCCTTTGTAGCCCACTAGCAGCTTGATCTTGTGCGCCCGTCCCCAGTTTTCTTCTTTGCAGGGGAGGCGAAAAATGCCGTCCCTCTGCAAAGTGTCGCTCCAGGCAAACGCCTTTTTTGCCTCGCGGTAAATACACCCCTGACTGCACAACTGTACAGCGCTAAAAACCTTCCAGAAGGGGTGTATATAAATCATATAAATAGTGTGTATATAAAATCATATAAATAGTGCCAAATCAATATGATTTGGGACCGGACTGTCTTCTGACTGATTATGTAAATTCATTTGATTGTATATTTTATGATATCAGTCCCATAATTATATACATTTATATATTGATGTGGCACTTATATTTGACACACTATTTCATTGTGATATTTCACTATTTTTGTTCACATTTCATATTGACACCTTATGGAAGGTTTTTAGCGCTGTACAGTTGTTTTTGGAGAATTAAGGCTATGTGGCTTTTGTGTAGCTGCTTTTAACCCATTGATCTTATTAGTTTTGTCCTGTACAACCAGATTCTGCCTTTTATTTTCCTGCCTGCATGACAACTAAAATCTGACTGGTCAACATAGGCAACTCAGACTAAATATGATATCTTTTGGTAGACTGTGTTTAAATGTCATTCTGAGACTAAAATCCATCTACAATTCACCTACTATATTGTGTTGTTTGTAGGCTAATTTTAGAAATGGTCAAGAACTTAAATGCAATAGTAACATAATACATAAAATAGAGTACTCAAAGTCAGGTGTGCGCAGATTTAGGGAAATGTACATTCTATTGAATAACATGAAAGAACTGCCCCAAGTTACCTTTATACCGTGACTTTTCTTCTTCAGTTAAATGTTCAGTCCGTGTTTTGGTGATAACATTGACATTATTTGCAGAGTACACCTTGAAGGAAGAAAAGAATACACTCAAAATGTATAAGCACAAACAAACAAATAACCAAGAAATAAAACAAACATAGTGCAAAGTAAAGAAACTGACCGCACATTCACAGAATAAGACAAAATGAATGTTCTTACCTTTGCTTCATAACTATTGACATTTTCTGCTTTGTCAGTCCTCCAGCCCCAAAATCCTGCCTTGGTTCTTAAAAGAAAAGAAAAAAGTGGACAATGATGAATCCCTAACCTGCCATCGAAAGCTCAGCATACCCAACAGTTAATCAAAAATGCAGATGGTCCACTCCACAAAACAACCACAATTTCCAAAGAAATTGTATTTTAGGTACCCTGTATGTAGCTCTACTTTGATCTATGAAATTAAAGTTTTTCAGCCTGTCAGATTTTGGCTTCTTGATATCAATCTACTGATGTCTTACGCTAAAATAATTTTCCCCCTCTACCAAAAAGACAACCTGTCCTATACCTCTTTAAGGCAAAGTAACAGGGTCACTTTAATGAGTGCCTCACCAGCTGCTAACACTTGCTTTTCTTTCATTTCCCACTACCACCCGAGACTCTGTCCAAAAGTCTGAGTCCTCTCTTCCCGCCACCATGTGACAATGCCGAGTGGCCAACTGCAAAGCATGTGTGCTGTCACGTGTGAGAAAGGGAGCGAGTCACATGATCCCCATACCAGGAAGTATGGTGTATGTTCCCAGTGGCTGAATAGTAATAGGTGATTTCCAAGTTGGTGAGGCTGCCATTAAAAGTGAACCTGTTATTTTGCCCTTCATGGGCAAAACATGGGCTTGCTTTAAAAGGATCACCAAACAAAACTTTTTTCAAGTTTTGGTTGGTAAACTTACCCTGAATTCAAACTGTTAGTGCCTTACCCTTCATGGGTGGCTACAATCAAATTGAGTTAAACAATTGTTTTGGAGTGCAATTTTTCTAGCAACAAGTATCTCTTTATTTTATTGTAAAATAAAAATTTGTCACAAGATTTTCCAGCAAAACTAAAAATCTAAAGTATATGGTCCTAGAAAAATCTGCTGAGCAATGCAAAATACATTTTGACAAGCCATGGTTATCTTCACTGAATCAGTTGCAAATATGGCATGTGTATACTCTTCTTTACCATCATTTAAAGTGGGATGTCTTCTAAGACGACATAACTGCAGTCAACAACTATGAAAGAACATACTGACAACATACAAAAATTCTAGCTTATTAATGTTTTAGTCAGCTAGTCAAATCCGCACATTTGCCAAACTGACATAATTTCCCTCCAAAATAATTAGTAATTCTAGGATACCTTTCAAAAGCGATGGCTGATGTATCCAAGGAGGTGTTAATGACTGGAGAGGTGAGTCTCTTGCTAATGTCCCGCTCTGCTGGTAGCATGGAATCCAGTGTAATGCCCTCTATCTCCTGGGAGATGTCAAAGCGTTCCTTGGTAACCGTCTTGTCGTCATGGTTGATCTCCATGAGCTCGGCCCAGTTATCTGTGGACATTGGAAGTCTGCTTCTTCACTGCATTAACTGATAAATTAGCTTTCAACACAAAGACACTTTATCTAGGGTGATTATTAATGTTTCCTTTTCCAAGATTGACAAATGAGTGGATGTTCTTAACCGCTAGAGTCCCGCTAGAGTCTTGTCTAATCAACAAGTCTGCCAATCTCAATTAGATCACATTAGTGCAACCTTTATGTAACGTAGGGGCAGGGGCGTAACTAGAAATCACAGGGTCCCATAGCAAAATGTTGTATGGGGCCCTGTGATTTCTAGTTACACCCCTTGAAGAGCCCACTTGAGATCCCACACAGCTCACCTGAGGGTGAACCTGCAGAGCCCACCATAGATTTCTATGGTGGGCTCTGCAGGGTCACCCTCAGGTGGGCTGGTCACACTCCTTACCTGTCAGCCTCTTCTTCCTCTGTCTTCCCTCCTCCGTCACCGGGCCCGCTTCCTCCACTGTCGCCGGGCCCGCCTCCTCCGACCCCGCCTCTTTCTGTTGCTAACCCCCAGGTCCCCGCCTCCTCCTCCCCTGCCGGATCCAGCCTCCTCCACCACCGCTGCTGGCTCTCATTGACTCAGCAGCGGCTGTGGAGACGAACGCAGCGCTGCACAGATCACCGACAGTGATCTGAACAGCGGCACATTCGAAGCCATAGCGACCCACACGGCATCAGGGGGGTGTCCTGGCCGGGCCCCCTTGTGCCCGGGCCCCATAGCGGCCACCTGGGTCGCTATGACGATTGTTAAGCCACTGTGAGGGGGAATAGTAAAGGTCACAGTAAACATATGCATTTTACTTTAGGAGAGCACTATTCCCTATTTCACGGGAAAAATAAACGATGTGTGTTAAAGGTTATCATAACATTAAGATAAGATTAGGTCAAATTGACAAGTGCACAAACTAGCACAAAAGCAACTTTTTCAGTTTTGCGATAGCTAAAAATTCTTTTAGTTCACTTGAGCATTTGATGGATGCACATTAAATGCAAATGTAATTCAAATGATGCAACCTGGGGATTAAATAAAACATTTGTATTATTTTCAGCAATAAGTCAGCAATAGACCACTATAGCAGTAATCTACAGCCAAAGGAAGAGGCTGGACAGAGCTGCAACAGCTCTGTCTGAGGCTACAGTGATTTGAAGTACCATTAGATCACTCATAACACCACTACCCTCCAGATGTACATTCTCTTTGACAGTGCAATCCTATCTGAGCGATCTGTAGAAGCATCGGAAGCCCAGGAGCTGATCGTTTCAGCTGTAGGGCTTAGTGTTAGGCCCTGTCAGCCAGATCCTGGTGGTTTTAGTGCTAGATCCTGATGGGACCCGCAGGAGCAGCCAAGCCTGGGTGTCATTTTAAAATGGCACTTGGACAAACAGCCACTGTCCCTGTGCCATTCTAAAATATGCCTGGTACTCAAGCGGTTAAAACCTTTTTTTGAAATTCTTTTCACAGTATAACTACATAAAAACCATTAGCAAAATAAATGCTGCTCTGCAGTTTATTAAATCGGGCCACCCTATGATAGGCATGTGAAACATTACGATAAGGAGTGAAGGATACAATACAATAGACTGCAAACTTTTCATCTATGGGTGTTCAGATCAGTGTGGAACGGACACCGCTAAGTAACATCTGTATAGAAAATGGTCACGCAATACATCCCCATTATAATTTGAGACCATTGCAACATTTTCTCTGTAATAAATGCATTTGTTGTGAAATTATGCCTAGCAGGAACCATGTGAGGAGGTTTATATTCCTCCTACTGTGTATGTCCAGTCTTCTTCCCCAACATTTCTTAGCCAAGTAGGTTTCGACCAAGTATTAAACCCAAGTCCCATGATGCAATGCACCTTTTTAAGGCTTTCCTGTGTTTAAAGGTACTTTGAGAACAAAAGCTGCCAAATGAATCTTCATCAAACTGGTTTTGGACAGAGTGGTGAAGGGTAAACTCTTAGTCAGGCTTTCATTTCTGTTTATATCCCAATGGGGAGATTCACCAGCCTATTTTTCATGATGACCATGGTAAAAGAAAAAAGAGAAAATCCCAAAATTTGGAGTTGTCATCAGAGCAAGATGGAGAAAAGAGAAGGACAGAACTGAAGGGGAGGGGAAGGCAGGCAAGGAGAGGAGAGCACTCACCTTCCTCTTTAAATATAAAGCTATGCTTTCCTCGGATCCAGCTCATGTTCTCAAATCCCAGCAAGGTGGCATCGACTCGAAGTTTGGCTCCACTCTTCCATATCCGACAGACATCGCTGGGACACACTCTTGCTAAAAGAGGAACTAAAAAAAAGAGGAAAAAAAAAAAAAAAAAAAACACAGAAAATATTTTCTACAGCTGAGAATACTGCAAAGATCTGAGTTTACAAAATACAACCAGAAACATATGAAACTGGAAGATCTTTTTTCTGCAAAAAAATGCATTTGAGCTCACCCCAACTTGTAAACTCCCACTTCATTTCCACATAAAAATCAGAAGCCTGAGCAAAGAGACATAAAGACAAAAATATTATTAGGATACAATAATTTCCAAGGTATAGCAGAAATCAATATCAAGTGCAGAATAAAAGTTCAATATGTGTGCATGCAAGTGGAGAAGAACATGAAGAATAAACATGAGCAGCAATAAGCTGCGAGTAAGCTTTATATTTTTCATCCTGATGGATCTCCTAAGAGTATGTTATTTGTCTTCCCTGCTGCGGGAACAAGGTGACACTGCTGTAAAATTGCTCACAAAATACAGCATTCTGTACTGAGACAATGGGATTGATCTAATAAAAGGAGAATATGGTGTTCATCTGGCAAAGTAAATGTCCACTTTGAAAAGAGTGAATGTTAGTAAGTAAGGTGAAATGGTGTTTACTTCGAGTACCTAAATCATATGTATGGGGAATGAAAAAACGCAGGATTTTTCAATCGAGAATTGATTAAGGATTTAGAGTGAATACAGCGTCAACTTATTCCTCAACATCCACTTTTCTAGATGAACAGCCCCCTAGTCCTTAATGCATAAACTCCACTGGCATCCAATACACCTCTGAATGCAAGCTATGGCACATGAGGATTTGTTGCCAAACACTAGAGCTATGGAAACTAGGGCAAAACTGCAGCTGTTACACCATATAAATGGGATTTTTTTGTCAAATCAGAAGGAGCAATCCTGATTGGCTGCTGTGGGCCAATATTTCACTTTTGCTCCAGTTTTTGTAAATCTGACCGTCGGTGTCTCCTTGAGCTCTTCATTATCTAGGCTCATCTATGGCATTATTTTTAGAAACTACTTTGAAAGAGAACTGAGGCCAAACCTTTTTTTGGCCTGTAGTTCTCTATAAGGTCACAGGAGGACATTTACTAACGTCCTCCTGTGATCTAAAACTCAGCATATAGTGGCTGTTGCCAACTATACGCTGACAGTGAAGAGTTGCGCTGCAGCCGGGAAAGATCCCAACAATATTGTCGGGATGCGCCGCGCTGCCTGATTGACAGCCTCTCTAGAGCCAGAGCCAGCTATGCCCGCCCCCTCCCTCATCTGTCCCTCCAGTCAGCGATGGAGGAACAGAGAGAGGAGGGGGAAATCCCTCTGGCGAGTGGTGACCGACAGTCACTGCTCTTTGCAGTGAGAAGATCGGGAACTGAGCGATCAGTGGTATGTGATTGGTCAGTTCTCCATCTATATAGCCAACGTGTGACAGGTGCAGTGTAACAGACCGAACCTAAGTATGGGGAGGAGTGTATTTTACTCTACCCATAATTCTCCTTTAAAAAGTGCCTTTCAGAAAATCCATGGTAAAAAGGACATATAGCTAGTATAGACAGCTACTAATGTCTAAGCTATGGCCACTATTACTAACATTGGTATCCTCATTTACTTTCAGCCTTAGAAGGACCACATGTACCAATCTCATTGGCAGATGCTTTAGACCTTTTCTAAAAAAAAAAAAAAAAAAATCAGCCAATCTGTGACAGACAAGGATCTGAACAGAAAATTCTAGGGATCAAAAGGCTGCTTTCGTTCATGTATGTGGTTCTAGTATGGCCAATTATATTGTCTAGCAAAATATGGGAATTCAGGATTGATGGCATGTCTGCACATCTAACACATCTGCCCATCACCGCTGTTTAATATCTGGCTTCAAGGAGCTTGCTCTGCCAGTATATACACCAGTAAAAATATTTCACTAATCAGTTTTTCAAATTATATTCGGTTAACCCTTTCGCTGCCAGCTCTGTACGGCATACGTCGGAACAAAAGTGTTTCCCGGGCCGGGAGAAGCCGCAATGTCAGGATGGCCGAGCGGTGAGAAACACGGAGCCGCTGTCATCTAGTCAGTTTTTGGATGACAGCGGCTCTGTGTGTGGCCGAACGGGGGGGGGGAAAATCGATAAATATTATTGATATTTATCGATCCTCCTGCGCAGAGCAAACACCGGAGTGATCGTCTGAAAAGAGCATATTGAAAATGACATCTGATTAGTAACAAAATGAAACTAACCTCAGGAAAATGCTATATGTAAATAATGTACAATCTATTATCTCCTTTCAGCTCAGATTGCAAAATAAATAATGCAGAAGATGGTCACTATGTAATGGCATATTCCTCTCAATACAATATGCTTCAACAGGTAATGTTAACCCGAATCCACATTTTGGTTATTGAAAACACAATGAGCAGCGAAAGCAGGACATAGCTGTATACATTGTGGCCACTTGCTAATTCTATAAAGAATTACGCTTGTATGTACACCTACAAGTACCACAGATTAAATTCAAAATGACTGACTATTTTACAGTATAACACTGACCATTACCATACCTGAGCAGTTGCATAGAATAAACAGGTAACATAAAAAATATTAAAAATTGGAGTTGACTCCTAGCTTTACGACAAAATTTAGTTAAAGGAGAACTATGAGGTGAGTGATTTCCACTCATCCTCATAGTTAGAGCCGACATGCGACAAAGAAAGGCAATAGCCCACAATATACTGAGCTTTGGGTCACGGGAGGAGGTCAGTATATGTCCTCCTGTGACCCTAAAGAGAACTATGGGGAAAAACACTTACAATACTTATAAGAGAACTATGGGGTAAGTAGGGATGCAGAGCTACTGGTTTTCCAGTATCGAGTACCGAAATGTATCTTTCGGTACTCGTCGATTCAGAGTACCGATACTTACACTAGAATGGAGCTGGCTTCCCGGCCAATCAGGAAGCCGGGCAGTGCGTCATTTCCCACTGACCCAGCTTCTCGGTTGCCTGGGAAGCCGGCTCTAAAGTGTTTGGCCATCTCGATGCTGATTAGCCAGGAAGTCGGCTTCCCAGCCAATCAGCATGGAGCCAGCTTCCCAGCCAATCAGGAAGCCAGGCAGCGAGTCATTACACACCAACCGGCTTTCTGATTGGCTGGGAAGCCGACTCCATCTTGCCTTGAGGTACTGCCGGTCAGAGAAAATCTCCCTCTAACCAGAAGTTCTAGTCTTGGGAGGGACGTATCGGAGCATTTGCGTGAATATTTAGTACTCGTATCTGTGCATCCCTAAATCGTAAGTAATGTTTTGTTTTTTTATTTGTTCATTTTTCAGGACAGGCTTTTAGAAAGTTCTAGATTAGTGTAAAAATAAATAAAAATATTGCATACAGTACTTAACTGTGTTTTAACAAGTGCACCACCATACACAGACAGCATTTAGAAACCAGGTAAAATCCATTGCGACTGGAGGTTTCAGAATGAGCACTGCCCAAAATATTGACCATGTGGCCTTATAAATGGTCATGGAGGATTTCCACATTCATGACTCTAGTGGAAATGTTCTGGTGGTTAATCAGTAGGTATGGCAGTGTCACTACCTGCTTTACAAGTGCTCTTAATTTGAATTGTTTCTCTGGCTCAAGAACTGGTGACATCCTGGTAACTTGACTTTTAAAACATTCAAAAGACACTTTAATGAACTTTCCAATAGCCATAAGCCAACAAGCAGGAGTAAATTCATCTACTTAGTATTCACCACTTTATCAACAGCTGTTTTCAGACAGGGCTATACGTGTAATACAGGGGTGGATGAATTAATATGGAATTCAGGTCATCAGGTTTTGTTTTTTTCTATTGGGGCCAGCTCCATTGACTACACCTAGAGAAAATCTCAAAAGTTAGGTGCCAGCACGCTTTACAAGAGTTGTAATGCTTAGGAGGGCTAAGAAAAAAGGTCCCTCTAAGGCCCCATTCACACTGAGCGATTTATCGAGTGATTTTTGCAGCGATATCGCTCATATTTCCACACGATATCGCTCTATGTAGCTTCTCCAATCCATTTCAATGGAGCTGTTCACATCTCGTCGCTCAATATCGCTTGTAGCTCGTCGCTGGTAGCTTGTCGCTCCTACATGACCCTTTTTTCAAGCAATTTCGAGCGATTTTGCTCCTGATTGCATACAGCCCAATAGGAAAAAGTCGCTCAATATCGTCGTCGTTCAAAATCGCGCAATTTTCATGTCGCTCAAGTGTGAATGGGGCCTAAGAATAAACCCAAAGGCTGCAAACCATTCTGGTTCACCATGGATCTTAAAACCAGCATTTTATATACCCCTCGCTACTGAAGATTTGCGTAAGACATTTATTAACATTGTGACACATGGCATGTGCAAGGGCTCAGTTTAGTACATGAATGCTGACTCACCTCCAGTGTTTTCTTTAGTAGTTCGGGTACACCTCCAAGAGCTGAGGACGCTTTGTGATATTCTCGGTACTGCAGAACCATTTGAACCAACTCTGGGTCCCCTGTGCTAACTGCTTCGTGCAGAACTGGAATAAAAAAAAAAATTGTCTTAATACATTTCACAGGTTTAAAAATCTCCATGCATATTTTACCCAGCAGCACTGTCCAACCTAGTTCCACATATAGAAAAAAGTGTCCAGGAGACCTTTATAGACATGTTATTAATTACCGACACTGTATATTGTAACTTACTGCATACTGGCACTAGGCATCCCGAATCAGAGTGTAAAATGTCTCTCAAATATAGACTAAAACATGGATTATTTTACAATTTACAAAGAAGTAAAAAAATAAAATAAATGTAAACATTTAAATCCATTTAGCCTGCAATAGGTTCTCCTGTATAAAATTCAACAAATGCCATGATGCCAAAAGACACAATGGTAGGGATATGCAGCAATTAAAACACATTGCACAGAATCAGAGGTACGGTAACCCATAGCTCATCCTACGTTTTCAAAGCAAATGACCACTGATAAACTGTTTTCAGTCAGGAGTTACAGCAGTAGTGTGACCAAATTTGTAGAATAAGAAATACTGGGTAATCCCATGTGGGTAGGACAACTCAAGGTTAACTGATTGGGCAGTTCCGGGTGAAAGAATAGATATCCATGTACAGATCTAGACTTTCTAATTCGAGTTCTCTTGAATCGTCATGTTTGCTAGATAGGAGATGCCCAAAAAAAGTGTGAGGAACCTACTGATACACAAAAGTGGTGGAACTGAAAAGACTATTAAATGTTCTAGCTGTGGGAACAAGGACAAATAATCCAGATTAAACCATACCCTACACTACACTATAACCAAAGCAGGTAACTTGAATTTTCAGGAATATTGTTTATATGCAAAATATTCAAAGTATTACCAGTCCACCCATCTTTATTTTCTTTCGTGACATCTGCTTTATGCCTCAGGAGGACTCTAGCAGTCTCTAGATGTCCAAGGGAAACGGCCAGATGTAATGGACTCCTGCCTCGTGGATCCAGCTCTTCAATATCCTATGGTGACATAGTAATATTACAAATCGAAAATAAAACAGCAATGCCAAAACCATGCACGCATCATTTAAAATAAAGCCCTAAATCCACCATATAAATCCAGCTTTAGGTCTGCAAAATCCCTTAAGCATGCAAATGGTAAACTATTCAAAGGATAGCAGACACTGTGCTCTGTTAAAACTTGCATTAGGAAACAGGCTATGTCTTTACGCTTTTAAGTCGCTGGGCAACAGCCAACGTTGGAGAGAAATCCTTTTGCCAGTTATGGCCAAAAGAACGATTATTTGTGGTTAATCCGGAACAATTAAAACCCATTTAATAATAAGAAGAGGATTACATTAAGTGGGAATATTACTGTAACACCATACATGAAAGGAGATTTCAGGCATTTACAATAACACAAGTCACAGTGCAAGTTTAGACTAATTAAAGTGAATAAGCCCAGCCTAATAAGCTGAATGTTCCTTAGCTCAGTACTATTGATATGGGAGGTACATAGCAGACAGGTGCTCTTTTAACGCATGTGTGTTAAATCATATGTCAATGGTATTGTAAGCAATGTTCTTGAATCATGCCTTTGAAATAAGAGTACCACCAAAAACTGGCATTTAGGTCACCGGTAGACTGGACACAGCTGTTGGTTCTAAACCACTGTCATCACGTCACTCCTAGTCCTGATGAAGATACTTTAATTTTGCTGCTCTCGCTGCAATAAAACTTTAAAGTGGCACTAAACTCAGGCGCTGAATCTTAAAAATGCACTCAGCTCGCTCCCATGATGGACTGCAATCTCATGTTTAGTTTACTAACGTGTATTGAAGTTATAGCATATCACGGAAGTGAGCTTGGAGCATACACACAGGGACCGTGGGGAACAAAAGCAGCCTCCCTCCAGAAGGAAGGACAGTGTCAGCACCAATTCAGAGATGATTTGAGGATCTACAGCCGAGTGATACACAAATAAGACACATTTTTGTTAATAGGTAGGGTATTTGAATGTATTTTCCAGATTTAACTCCTGAGTTTAGTGTCACTTTAACAGGGAATGGAGTCCTTGTGAAAGTCAGAACAAGCATAGCTACTCTGTGGCCCATATATTAACTCTAGAGTTCTACAGATGATTTTGTACCCCTTTTTGGAGTAAAATTAGAATAAAATATAGGAACTGGAGCAGATTATGTTTTATCCTGGCACAAGTAGTAACATTAGTCCCCATTACCAGGAACATTCATGAGCAATGCACAGTAATTTCAAGTAAGAAAATATTAACTTATCGTTTAGTAAGGTTGTGTACATGTTTATGTAAATTACATGCTGATCACATAGACATGGATCACAAGGGCGGGCCAAGGGGTGGTAAAAGCAGGCTGCCGATTTAGGTTTTTTCCCTTGCGCCAACCTAAAACTGAACATAGCCACTACTCACACCTGTACACATGCCGTGTCCATGAGGCAAATGTCCCGTTTAGCACGAGGTACCACTTAATGTGACCATTGCAGTCAGTTGGAATGCGCCACAACTGCATGGGCACGCAGATGCGGCATGGTATTGCAATAGAATAGAAGAGACGAAAAACCAGGAGGATGCAGTATCGCCTCTTGAACATCAGGCAGCCGCTGCTCTACCACCCTCTGAGAAGCTTTCAGTATCCTCACTCAAATGTTTGGCCATCCTGAAAGGCAAAGCTTCAGCCCTTCCTGATACTGCTAAAGCTTGTCTGGACCTTACTATGGGCCAGTACATCCTAGCGATGGGCTAATAGGATGGTGTGGAAGGGACCAGGAAGGGACTCTGACACAACCTGGAAGCTTGGCATCTTTCCCTCTCATTGTTATCTATGTGGATCTTTCACAGCGGTGCTTGCAAACATGCCAGTTTTCTAGAATAGTTACTAAATGCGTTTGTGCATTTTTACCCATGCATTACACAAAGTGAGGGGAAAAAAACGATATTCCTACTCTGCTAGCACACAGCAGGCCCTTCCAGGAGCCTGTATGACACTTCCATTTTCAATTCAAAGTATATGTGTACCTTTTTATGCAAAAAAACAAAACACCTGTACAGGTCCCCTCTCCATCTCTTAGCTATTATAGGGAAAACAGGACTTCAGATGCTGCGCACTCACCCTGCCCGATTCTCTGCTGTGCTGGCAGTGTGTACATTACATTTTCTCCAGGGGCCATGTGCTCAAGTGCAATGTGGACTCTCCTCTCCTTGTAGTGTATGTAAACATTGCCTGGTTCGGTGGACAGACAAGGTGTAAAGTTGCAGTACATTGCATTTGAGGTCTAAAATTTGGCATAATAGCGAAGGGATGGAGTGGGATCTGTAGAAAACACATGTTTTATGTGTGCTTTAAGCACCTGGTGTCCACAATGAGAAAGGCGCAAAAACAGAAATCAGGCCTGAGGTGCAGGATTTCTCTAGATTAGGTATTTTCTTTAGGTTTGAACTGTGACAAAACTGAATATGGTACATAAAGCCTATAAAACCATGTTAACAATGAGTGCGCAATAATTACAGAAATATTGGTAAAGGCACCCAACTGTATACAACTCTGACTGCCAAGACAATATATGACAATCTCTGTCCTAGATTGCCAACTTGTATATGTACTAGACCATCTCTAGACTCCATTGAATGATACAGTCAAGAAGGCTGAACATGGTTGTTCGGGACTCATATGAGGTATAAGAATGTAGGGCAGGGGCCTCCAAACTGCTAGCCTGCGATGGGGCAGCGGGCCTCCCGGTGACGCCAACGATGGGGCAGCGGGCCTCCCGGTGACGCCAACGATGGGGCAGCGGGCCTCCCGGTGACGCCAACGATGGGGCAGCGGGCCTCCCGGTGACGCCAACGATGGGGCAGCGGGCCTCCCGGTGACGCCAACGATGGGGCAGCGGGCCTCCCGGTGACGCCAACGATGGGGCAGCGGGCCTCCCGGTGACGCCAACGATGGGGCAGCGGGCCTCCCGGTGACGCCAACGATGGGGCACAATTCTCGCAATGAAACCAACAATGGGGCACTATTTTTTCCACTGACACCAACCAAAGGGGGTTATTACTCCTCCATCATTTATTTCCACTGCCAGGGAATTTTCTACTACCACTGCACCTTTTTTTTAAAAAAAGATTGAGGACCCCTGGTTTAGCAGATCTAGAGATTGTCAGCCATACCACTGAGGTCTTCTGGGAATAACCTCAAATGAGGACCAAAAGCAATGACAAGACCCAAACTGGTTGCCATACAATGACAGCAGCTTTGGGAAGCAACAAAAAAAAGGCTTAAAATATTTAAATCAACAACCATTTCTTACATTTCCCCATTTGAAAAGCTTTGTAGTACATTTACCAACACCTAAAATGTATATCAAACAAATGTGTTGCTGTCAACAAGGCCTAAAAACAGAAATATTAGCAGTTACAATTTAAAAACTGCTTTGCAGTGCTGAAAGTACAAGAAAATGTTAACACAAAATTCCCCAAGCTTCCTCCTTAAAAGGCAAGCAAGAATTTCTGAATGGCATGTAAAGTCAAAAGACCGTTGGCGAGCAGAGTTGTCATAAATACTTCCCACTCATGTTTCATTGGTTACTAGCACATTAGACCCCCGGTGTCCTAGCAATCCATTTCTCATTTCCCAGCCAGCATGATGTCAGCCAGTATCAGGCCCCATGATGTAATGATGACAGCCAGCATTAGGCCCCTTTGTGTACATTCAGCTGCCGGCTGGGAAATCTCCCAACCGGCAGCTAAATGGGGCAGGGAAAGAGTCACTGGTTGCTGAGAGGCCATCGGCTGCATAGCTGATGACCTTTCAGCAACCAATAAAGCTGAAAATGGACAAAGTATGGTGGGGAACTCCGAGAGGCTAGTTCCCCACCAGATCTGCCTACCTTATGACTGAAAGTGGGTGGATTTCAAAGCTAACATACACCCTACTATTGGCTATGGAAAAGCCCACTGCCTGCTGTTAATCAGTAGCAGAGCGGACCTGATGGGGAACTAGTCCGTCTGCATCCCCATCAGGTTCCAGCCACTGTCAGCATCACTGGTTGTTAAGGATGCTGCTGGTTACACACTACACTTGAATCTGGGGCAAGAACCCACATTTGTCATGCAGATACACCAGGGCCGTCTTTAATATTGATTGGACCCTGGGCAAACAATTTCTTGAAAGGAGAGAGAGAAGAGAGAGTGAGGAGAGACAGCCAGAATAGAGAGAGGGGAGACTGCCAGGAGAGAGAGTGGGGAAAGGCAGCCAGGGGAGAGAGAGGAGAGACATCCAGGGGAGAGAGAGGAGAGACATCCATGGGAGAGAGGATACACAACAGAAATCTAAAGAGTGTTGTAAATAAAATAAAATATTCAACATTTTTAAAAATGGTAACGTTAGCCACAGACACAGGGTTATTCACTAAAGATTGAAAGGTTTGGAGACGGCAGGAGAAGTGAACAATCTAGGACAACATAGCTGATTTGGAGAAAATCTCCAGTTCTGCTCACTTTCCAGTTCAGTTATGTTGTCCTAGATTGTTCACTTCTCCGGCCTTCTCCAAACTCTTCACCCTTTTGTGAATAACCTTGTAAATGTTTGTTGGTGACGCAGGCACAGTCTGACTTCTGATCATTTTTGCAAATGATCGTTATGTAAATATACACCTTGCCCCTTCAAGTAGATAAAGAAAGGGGAGCAGCCAGACATCACCAGTGCAGACCTCAAACAACACAGATTTACCATGAAAACCCAACTGAGGTAATTTACTATTTTCTTGACAATGGTCAGCCAGGATGCCTCCTGGTACCTGTAGGCAAAAGGTGGATCTGGTGACAATCATCCAATGTCCATGGGGTACCAGTAGTAAGCCCCACATGGTACAATGTAATTGCAGAGTCTCTGTACATTCTCTTTAGTAGTTATAAATGACCTTGGGCCTACCTAAACAAACCCATTCGCACCATCATGTATTCCATGACAATGGCTCCCCAACGTACCTCCAAAATGCATGTGTGCTGCAGTCCGGCACATCAAATGTCCTGTGCATTGGGCTGTGTTAAAATGCAGCCTGCATTGTTGTGCACTTTAGCCTGTTCATTCTGAATAGGCTGTTTGATACAACGCAACACGTGACAATGCATGACAACTGGGCAGGTGTATACAGATTTCGGCCAAGTATAACCGTCTGTGTACTTCTTGACAAAATATCCTCCATTCTGCATGTTTTGCCCTGTGTAGTCCTACTCAAGTGTACACATGCTAAACCTTAGAAGTCATTCACACTGTAATGCACATGGCATTACACACAAGCAATTTGGTATGCATTGGTGTGTGCTGCTAGAAGGTACTGGGCATTTTTTACCTTAATGCAGAGAATGTAATCCTTTAACTGCGCCCAATGCACAAATACAAAATACAGTGCTCTACAAGAAACCAGCGCTTTGTGGGTTGCAGTTTGCTTTTGCACTTTGGAAAATAGAGCAAGACCAATTTCCTCCTGCATCAGCCCATTTTACATGAACACACGCGTGTTGAAGAGCGCTACACAGGAGTCCTTATTTCTTGGGATAAAAAAAAAAAGTCAAACAGCTAGCTTGGATTTGACAATCTGATCACTTTTAATTCCTTAATTGACGGGTTCTTATCAGACAGGCAATGATCCACAATAGACAGGCACTGCAGATGCTCTCACCTTCCCTTGCAGCTCTCTCTCCAGTGTGAGGAAGTCATTATTCCAAACCAGGGCATGCAGGGGGTACTTGGCTTGGTACTGCTCTTCGGTGCTCATCTTTTAGGCTTGGCTGGTGTGTCGGGCCTGGCACGGTGTCTCCCCCTGCAGATCACACCCCCCAGGCTCGGGCCGCCCCGGAGACACCGGACTCTCCAATACAACTTTTCAAAACAGGGAAGCGCCGGGCGTCTCACAAGTGACAGCTGTAGGGGTGACACAAAGCACACACTTCACTGGACACACCGCGAAGGCGGCGCAGGCGCTGTGATATCCGGCAGCAGCATAGCAGACCCTAGGCTTAAGAGGACACCACACCCCACCCGGTACTCATCCCCTACATTGCCCGCACAGCAGCGCAGCAGCTCAGGGCACCCCCTGTGGGAGGCGCTGCAGATGGTGCGATCCAGGACACGGACGCAGCCATTGTCACTGTGAGAGGAGGAGCTGCCATTTTGTCATACATAATGTAGAAAACGTCATTCGCTAAAGAACGGATCACAGGGTAACGTGACCGTCAACCAAACATTGCCACTGCGGCTATCGTTACAGGGAAGCAGGGGTGCTCTGCCTTTTCCTTGAACAGTCCGTACCTGGCGTTGGCGTAATCCATATCAAGGTGTGCATCTGGATACAGCTGCTCAGATTTCCAGGGCCTTCCCTCCATACTCGGAATGTGGGATGGAGCCGGAATGAGATTGGACAGCGGCTGCTATTGTCGCTTCGGGCTGCATCGATTAGAGCTCGCTGCAAAAACATACACGGAAGTCATAACCATCTTTTTGCGTTCCACGCCTCCCTATGACTCCGCCTCCATGTCGCTAATTGGAAGAGCAGCCTGATACATTGCGGCTATAGAGATGTTTTAAGCCACGCCCACTTAGTTGGAGAGCCTCTCTCCGTTATATACGAAACATAATAAGGAATCCACCCTAGTCAGTTGTACAGTAATTATATCAATCATGTACACTCAATTCATCTAGATCTTCACACATCCTTCTACAATGACCGATAATGACTACACTATGGAACATTTGTTGGTAAACTTTGAGGAATTGATCACCATCCTGCCTCTGTCCAGAACCTTTACAGTGTAAATGTAAAAGGAATGTAGTGCAGCTAAATAAAACGGTGTTATACCTGAAGCCAGCTGTGTATTTAGGTTTTATGCTGCTCTAGGCAACACTACACTCTGGCTAATCTAAATTTGTACCACCCCTTCCTGTTTAAGACATTCTGTGTAACCTGTCAGTCGCTTGGTACAACGCAAACGCTTCATCCAGGTTCTGACCGGTTGCGCTATTAGCGTAGCAGGGAAGCCGGAGTCTCAGGTGGGCTGTGAATGATCTCTGGTGGGCTCTGCAATCTCAGCCTGAGACCCTGCAGAGCCCACCATATATCCTTCACAGATCCCGCACAGCCCACCTGAGACCGTGCAGAGCTCACCATAGATTCCACACAACTTACCTGAGACCACACATAGACCCTGCACAGCCCAACTGAGACCTTGCAGAGTCCACCATAGATCCTGCACAGACCACCCACAACCAACTTGAGACCTTGCAGAGCCCACCATAGATCCAAACACAACTTACCTGAGACCCTGCAGAGCCAATCATAGACCCTGCACAGCCCACCTGAGACCTTACAGAGCCCACCATAGATTCCACAAAACCCACCTGAGACCCTGCAGAGCCCATCATAGACCTTGCAGAGCCCACCGTAGACCACACATTTTTTTTTTTTTAAGTCCACGGTGCATGCATCCAAAAGCAAACCCTTGAGAACAAAAAAAGTGAATAGTGAAATCACTACACACTAACAAAAAAAAATGCATAAGGGTGCTATGGTCCTCCTCTGATGAGGAAGGGCCTCAAATTCCTGAAACCCCCCCAAGGCTCCTGACAGGGGCAAGGAAGCCTGTCTACATCACCTCCTGTTCATTCATGATTGTGGTTATAGTAAACATACTATGTCCAGAAGTTATGAATGAACAGGAACACTCAGTATAGAGGATTCCTGTTCATTTATAACAGGGGCTGCAGGAAAAGAGATTGAGAACTCTGTGTTCTCAATCTCTTTTTCTATTTTAAAATCAAAATATTAGGGGTCTGTTTAGACCCCTAATATTTCCCCGAAGCCCTTAAATGTAAAGTAAAAAATCAAAATATTTAATAAAAATAGATATAAAAATGTTTAAAAGTTTATAAAAAATA